CCATGTCATACAAACTAAACCATATGCTTCAAACCTCTCTCAAGAGCTTGAAGCATGCCTTTGGGAGGATATGATAAGGAATCTACTGTTAGTAAACACGTGGTTGTCACATAAGATCTAAGTCACCCTCCACCTAACTATCTATATGGATGAAGATTCAAAGTGAAAAAATATAAGCTCCCATGCCATGCTTCCAAAATTCGATACGACAAAGGCGTAAGGCCAAATACTTCCGAGACAATCACAAGGAAAACAATCATAAGCTTCTATCTCATTATACTTTGAGATAGAATGACAAGGAATATAATCACAAGTTTCCTTCTTCTCATCCATTATGATGAGGAAGACAATCACAAATTCTCTTCTCATTCTCTAAGGTATAAAAGGACATCTTAAATCCGATACAATGGATTTTTTTAAACTATTCGAACCCACATTTTGGTACCTCGGATTACTAACTTGAGCGTAAGAGATATCCGGTCGGAAAACCTCTTTCGATCTTGATCTTCATGTAGGTGACCTCTTAGGAGCTCGATATTTTTACCTTAGATACAGTTGGGACAATCATGCACATACGATTTTGGACCACGTTAAACTGATTAAGACGACAACCATATTTTTTCCTAACATAAATTATTACAATATTTATGTTACAGTATTCTTGGAGAAACAAATGCAATATTACATAATCCCATAAAGACAATTACTCACATAAAGAATTAGGCTCTAATCTAGCCAACCAACATCCAATTTTCTAACTTAGTCAATTCATGATTCGGGACTTACATACCTGCTGCCGAAAGGTTGTTGGTGACTACAGAAACAGGCCATCACAACGTTGCAATCTTGCAGTTAATGCGCACCATCTTTTGATGACCAGAAATTGTGCAACAGTGTTAGTTTCCCTGACACAACCTTCGTCTCCTCCATATATCTGATCTCCTCACAGAGGAAGGTGCATCTGGAGCTTCAAATCAAAAAAATGGCATTGGAGCCACTCCCCAAATTGTCATCACTTACAGTGCTACTGTTAAGTCTCATCCCACTGAGTTCTGGAGCTTTTGCAGGAGGTGTTCGCGTTGAGTTGACTCATGTCCATGCCAACGCTGGTGACAGTGAGGCTAAACTGATCCAACGTGCGGTAGCAAGTAGCAGGCACAGGCTCTCGACCCTCGTCGATCGTGCTCCGCTCCACGCCGGCAAAACCGAGTACATCGTCGACATAGCCATCGGTACGCCGGCGCTTGCCTTCTCTGCACTCGTCGACACAGGGAGCGATCTCATATGGACCCAATGCAAGCCCTGCTCCAACTGCTACTGGCAGTCAAGTCCGGTGTTCGACCCATCGAAGTCCTCCACCTTCGGCACGATCGCATGCGATAGCATGCTGTGCAAAGCGCTGGACCAACACTCGTGCAACGCTTCCTGCCACTACTCTTACATGTACACCGACCACTCCTACACCGAAGGCGTGCTCGGCACCGAGACCTTCACGATCGGCTCTACCTCCGTGCCCGGCCTCGCATTCGGTTGCGGCAACTCGAACGACGGCGTCGCCTTCGCCGAGGCGGCCGGCTTCGTCGGCCTTGGACGGGGGAAGCTCTCCCTCATATCGCAGATGGGCTTGACGGAGTTCTCGTATTGTCTCACTCCATTTGGATCGCGGAAGAAAAGCACTCTCTCGATAGGTTCTCTGCCGAACCCTAATGCGACTGCACATCCAGTTATGTCGACGCCCATAGTTCGCAACAAATCCTGGCCGAGCTTCTACTACATCACTCTCAATGGAATAACGGTAGGAGGAACTGTTGTTGACATCCCAAGCTCCACATTTGCCATCAACGGAGATGGGAGTGGGGGAATGATCATAGACTCGGGCACCTGGCTCACGTACCTGGAGTACAGTGCGTATGACAAGGTGGCAGATGCTTTCACGGCTCAGATAAAAAACATGAACACCACCGATCAATCCCTCTTCGACCTCGACCTCTGCTACGAGCTGCCGCCGAAATCGACCCCCGACACCTTGAACCTTCCCAAGCTCATCTTCCACTTCCAGGGAGCAGATCTGGAGTTGCCACCAGGGAACTACTTCGGCGTGGACAGCGACACCAGCTCTATATGCCTCATGATGGCGGAGTCGAGTGGGTTATCGGTGTTCGGCAACTTCATGCAGCAGAACATGCAGGTGATGTATGATCTGGGGAACGATGTGCTGTCTTTCTACTCGGCCGAGTGCGGCTAGTTGTTCTCTTCTTCGCTGCCAACGTCGATTACTAAAGAGGGAATTCCTAAGACGATATCGACTGAGCGTTGGGAATAGCATTGAGATTGAAACATCACGATAGAAAATGATGCGCACAGTGAATAAAGACTTTGAGGATATATGTTGCGATGCATGGTAGGGCTTTATGGTACATCTGATTGCACTCATCAAACAATTAGCAGTAGTTCAAAATGAAAAGACGAGTCGAGAACATATGCACTAAAGATTGCACTCATTAGTGACGCCACTTGCGTTCCATTCTCGGTTAGGACAATTTGAGATCCCAGTAGGAAGAGAAGAGTAGGCATTCATCTTTTTGGTTACTCCAAACATGGTCTTCACATTGATCGAGAAAAACTATTTTGCTTGTATGTTCATCGTCATCTCCGCGAGATGCCTCTCTTAAATTGAATGATCACTTCTCCAAATTTCCCGTATTTATGGTGATAGCCCATCTCTTTTGAAGCTCGTCAACCTGAGGGACTCCTATTTATTTATACAAGGAACTTACGGGATCTTTGCTTGATGTGGATGCATCAAATCAAATGTAAGAGATGCTTTCTTTGGCTATGTTAGACGCCCTTCGTAGCTTTATGCTTTGTCTGATTAGGGCATGTTGAACGCAAGAACATATGTTGATCATGTTGGACGTATCTCATCAAGTATGAGAAGGTGCTTTTTATCTTGAGCATTGCAAATAAAACTTGCATCCCCGATACGAGGGAGAGCTTCCCGCGTCCCATATGAATGCTCTCCCCTCCAGATCAGATTGATATGATCGATCCCAAGTATCGATGATGTCACTCAAAAGTCTGGACGATTGATTTGATATAAGAAAAAGAAATTTGACACTGACGAATGACTGAGAGGAAACGATGGGATCTGATGGATGGGATGAACGGTTCAGAAGAGACAACCCTTAACATTGTTGCTTTGAGTGTGTGTCATATTCTCTCTCTCGCATGGCCACCGACCAGTACGAGCCCTGTGCATGTGATGAGCCATACGGTCACCATCAGCCGCCACTACCCTCCAGCTGAAACATCGGTCCACCACGTGAAATGATGTAGAGCGAGTAGGAACGATTTTTATTTTTATTTTTATTTTTATTTTTTTGGATGATAGAGAGAGCATGACGGCCGGAGCAAATGGATAAATAAACCAAATGGTCAATGGGCGAGTAGCATCTGTATATGTGGATATAGAAACCAAATGGATTGGCACCACTACGACAGACATCTCTCTCTCTCTCT